TGCCCCCAAGCCTGGCTAACACACAAACCAATCAACACCCACTCTAGTGTGCAGATTGGTGGTTTTTAGTAGTCATTTCTATGTGGAGAAGGATATCAGGAAACTTGTAATCATCAGATAAGTTAAACACATTAAAATATGTATAAAGTGGCCTCCAAGTCTGAAGTATCCCTATGCAGGTCAACACTGTCTTGTATGAAGATTGAGCACATTTGATTTATATATACGTGTCTGTTATCAGATTATACATCCATCCATCCATCCATCCATGAAGCAGACCTAATATGCCGGACACATTTTTTTTTTAATTTTATGGAATAGACCAATAATATACTATTCAGAATCATTCAAAGATACATTAAGACCTAGAATCATTTAAGACTCTAAGGTTACTATAATGGTTGCCTGCATAGAATGGATTTTCTGAAGGAATGTGCAAACTGTTCCATGCATGGAACAACTGCTTTGGGTAGCCAGTACTCAAACTGAACCATGTGTGTTTTTTTAATCTTTGGACTGTGTATAGAACAAAACAATGCTGTTCCAAGCAGTAGTTTGGGGAAGAGAAGGAGGGAGATTGGGGGCAGGCAGGCTGCTGGGGTGTGACACCCAGAGCCACTAGAAGAGGGGAGAAGGTGACAGACACCAGCCTTACCCTACTTATCCTATAAAATCACTTCTGGATCTTTATGGGATTCTTCTAGATTTTTGTTTCATCCAAAATCCAAAACAATGAAAAACTTTCAGGGTTGTTTCTGCTGTACTTCAGACAATCTAAAATGGCATGGCAGAACTTTCAGAACACAATAATTTGTTTCAAGTTTGAGATAAAAGATAAAACATATTTCCCATTTCACACACATCTCAAGTTTGATGCAGACCTGATTTTGGTATCATCTCAGTTACGTGGCCAACTTCAGGATCTCAAGATATTTTTAACTCATTAGCAAATCACCATTTTGTAAGAATACAGGCCCAGATTCAATCCATGGCATTCCTACTTGAAGTATTTTTAACATTGGGAGTTTGAAAAAGACACCTGGAAATCTGTGTCAAAACTACTACAAATAAGAGTGTGCATTTGCTTAAAATAAGTATTGCCAACTATTCATAAGGAAGGGAACTAGTGAAAAAGATTTGCTTCTCTTTTAGAACAACTTCTTGGTAATTATCCCAGCTATTGGTGCAATTTTCCATCAGTCATATTCTCACCTTGACTCCAAGCAGGAATTCACTGTGATCACTTTCCAGCCATACACTGATTGTTAAAATAATAACATAATGCTAATAATAACACCTAACTAAGTTTAAATCCCAGATATCCCGCATATCCTACATATCAAGCACCACCTCCCTTATGTCCTCTAGCTCTTGCTTCTGTGCTCACTAGATGTACTCACCAAAACTAGAAGATGTCTCTTGGTGAAGCCAAGAGATTTTTTTTTATAAGATATCTGAACAACCTAGGTTGTTTTGTGAAAGAAGAACAGCTTTCTAACTACTTAAAAATATCACCTTAAGAGCAATTTACGACTATTTAAGATTTTTTAAAAGAGTTACTGTCCTATTTCAATGTTTCAGAGATATTTGATAATGGAATTAATGTGAGCCATTTTTGACAATTTGGGGAATGAATGCTGGGCTAGATGAACAATATCGATTTCTCCAATCAGATTCAGATTTGTAAAAGCACATGTACTGGAGGGAATCATCTGAATTTGCTTTAAGTAATCTCCATGGAACATTCAGCCTTCCTAAATCCATCATAGGGAATTGAATGGCTTAACATTCATAATCTCTTTACAGAAATTATTAACTCTTCATATGCCATAGCCTGGAAACAATAAGAAGGACATATAAACATAAACAGGAAAATGGATACTACAGCTAGAATATCTGAAGCTGCTTAGACAGTAATTAATTAGTTTAGTAAAAATAATCACATTGCTTTTAGTGCACGTAGGATATGCAAATCCATCAGTTGACATACAGCAACTATTGCTGATGTAAAATAAAGCAACTTTCAATGGCATAAAACGTCTGAGGTTTTACAGTTTCTAAACTGGTACTATTTAATGATCCATGGTACTGATGTATATGCAGGCATATAAATGTCCTTATTTGTTTAACAAAAGGGAAGGCAAACATGTATCTTGACTTATTTGTACAGGTCAATTTGTTCAAATGCATTTTTGTATTTGTAATTTGCTTGACAGATAGGGATTCTTAAAAATCACATGATCTCATGAAGTTTCAGAAAAAGCTAGCATACATTTTCCGGAAATTCAAATTGGAGGGACAACTAAGACTTCAGAAAGTTTGCTGTTTATACCATAAAGTACAAAGTAAATCCTCAATGAAATAAGCATTGAGTTCTAGAGCAGACAAGTTACCACTAATGCAGAAACACAGAAACATTGTCTCAGCTGAACTGACTAGAAAGAGGACTTGTCCAGAGAGACTTACAAGATTCTTCAATTAGTTAAGATTTTATACAGATATTACTGGATCTCCCAACCCAGGTTAATGTGCCTTGCATTAACTTTTGAATGAATATTTTTCAAGATAGTACCTTGGCTATTGGAAGAAGCAGGGAAGAGAAAGCTTGCACATGCTTCAAGAATCTCATATGCATTTTATAGGCAGTCAATTTTGGCTAGTTCCTGAATATACTTTGAATCTTTGTGCAATGGGGGGGGGGGTTGGACATCATGCAAGCATGAAAACAAAAGCATATCAACTTCCCCAAACACATTTTAAAACAGAATTCTGAATCACGCCTATCTTTTAAAAAAGTACAATATTTCTAAACTACTCCATGACCGAGAACAAGTCAAGATTTCTCAATCTGACATTGAGAAATTGCAGAAAAAGAAGGTTGATGATAGCAAGCACCATTACAAACATTCAAAAAGGTGCACAGAAAAATTTGAGGAGTAATATTGGTTAAGTTGGCATGACACATGAAAATATAAAGTACCCAACCACATTTTAGCTCAGAGTTTTGTGCAATTTAATCTGTGTTACCCCTTTCAGATAAGCCCTATAAATCCATAGAATTAGGTGAAGCATGTCACACAAATATGCCCATTTAAGTCAAATATAGACTGAAAATGATTGATTGAAAGAGTACACTAACAAGTTCATAGCTCTTTGGGGAAAAGTTCTACAAGAAATGAGCTAGTCATTTAAAACATGCGAAAAAGCCACTTAGTGGCTTGCTTTGCACTAGAATTGGCTTGTTCTTACAAGTGCACACAGTTTTCAGTACTCCTCTTTTCCCCCCTCAACCTGGAATCCAAAGTAAATTTCTTCTATCCATATCTGGCAAGACTGAGGCACTGAGGAACCATCACTGGATGGTTTAGCATCGGACAGAATCAAAGAATTACTAAACAAGAACTACATTTCAGGGGCAGAACATGGACAAGTAGATTGCAGCCTTATTACAAGCAAAAGAAAAAACAAGAATTATTTTCCTATATGAGGAATGACAGAGCTATATAGTATGTGAGCCAATAAACAAAAATTTAAAATAAGACACAAAGCACACTTTGAATTAAGTTTGTACAACAGGGGCTTTAAAGTCTATTCAGACAACACTGACAGACAGACTGCTGCAGAAATCCTATCTGTAGAAAACATTATTGCTGACAGGCTCAGGAAAACAATATCCAAAAATATTTTAAAAATTCCAAATTTTTAAAAGAGGAAGAGACTGAGAACGCTCTTTTAATAAATTCCTATGCAAATTGTATAGGAAGTTTTTCATATAGCCAGCCCTCTGAAACAAAAAGAGCCAAATCAAATTAGTTTAGGGAAAAATGGGATTCAGGATCCCTTCCAATATGAGGAAATATGGGAATGTTTCTATACATGCTGCTCAGATCACAAAAGGATTCAGAATTGTACAATGAACAGGTTCATAAGACCCATTAGAAAGAAAAAACATACCTGGAGCAATTAGCATAGTAGGATCTCTCTCTATATATCTTTGCACATGAAAAGGTGAAACATGGCCACCATGTTTGTTTGTTTGTTTTGACCTTTTAAGTTAACAAGGATAAGAGTTTTTAAACTTTGATTTTATAGCATTTCACCAATTAACAGGAAGCCATTAAAAAAGGACTAAAAGAGTCTGCCCTAAAAGATAATGGTTAATCAAAATTTGAATTACATGTTTTATCATGGAATCATTTAGAAGGCACTATGATGAAATGTTTTGAAAATAACTGGCTCTCCCAATCTATCATATGGGGTAGGCAAGCTACAGAGTTGATGCAAAATACTGCAGTGAGTGAAGCCTTTTCAGACAAAAGAAACTAATATTTCAATTTAAAAATACTGAACTTTTTTATACAGCAAAAATGTATTAAACATCAGCAGATAAAAACAAACATGCCCCATCAGTCAATGGGCATGGACATGTGAAGTGTTTAAAAGGTTAACTTACTATAAAATATTACATCTTAAGTATAAACAGGCCAATTCAAGTATATATACAATATATTAAAATCATAAATTATATATTTAAACAAAGAACAAAGTAAACCAAGGGATTTCTCTGAATTTAACAGGAGATCCAAACTGCAAGGTTTACTTCAAGATATGCAATTAATTTCTCTCTGGTAATGACTATTTTTTTCATGCCAATATGGAAAATTGAATAAATTTGATAGCATGAGTACAAAACAAAAACAAAAGAAAAATGGAATTGCTATCACAAAAGTGACAATAAAGTACATGAGAGAATAATTTTCAAAATGAGCAGTAATCTGTCCCCTTTCCTATCCACCCCCATACTAAATCAAAAATTTCAAGTTACTTAGGACATAAATTGATCCTGGCTATTTAAAAGGTTTTTTTTTTTTCAGTTGCAAGTTCTAAATTAAACTGATACTAGAAAGAAGAAAAGAAAAATAGCAAACCAAAAATCAGTAAATCAGCAGTATTATCAGAGAAGATTTGCACATTAAGGGAAACATAAAAGAAGCAGGCGCTACAAAACCACTTATTTTTAATAATTATTTCAAAATAATTACCAAGTACTTAAACATGTGAATCATTAGGAATTCTTCTGCAGATGGTTAAGACTGAAAAGGGCATCAAACTGACTATGAGATCAAGGGCAGTTTGTGTATGTTCTACAAAAAACAATCCAAAACCTTCTCACTACTGTAGAAAGTGCAGCTACTGAAAAACTGGATTAATAACAAGTTGCTACATTTCCATTTGCTCACAGGTCCCAGGCATGCAAGGGCAAGTTAATACAAGTAAAGCCAAAAGGCAGAATTAGAAAGAGATAAAAACTGTTAAGATGGTACGAGTAACTGGATATGCATAAAAAATACAAATGACACCAGATGCAAAACTGAAAAAAGACTTGTCATACATTGTGACTTACTACCACTGAATTTAAATGAGATACATTTAGCATCACTACACTGGTGAAAGAACCACTTTTTCATTGCTTCAGCCCATGGTGCTGCAAGAACACCTTAAAAGAATGACACCTAAGCAGGGCCAACCTAGCTAGGAAGAACATGCATGAAAGACTATTAGCACATGGCATTAGCACATGGCAGATACTATGGGAAAAAGAATGGTTCTTGTGCTACTCTGATAAATTGGCCTAATGCTAGTCCTTACAGGACAATCCTATGCTGAGTTAATTTAGCAAAATACAGGGCAGAATGGTAGCATAGTTCCTGCTAGATAATTGAGTTGACTCAGAAAAGTCAGAAGTAAACAAAGAAATGATAGTTTTGCACACACTGTCTTAAACCTATGTTGGAGCAAATAACCTGCATCTCAAACTTCCCATATTATGTTTTATAAGCATTGTTTAACATGGGAACCTTTATAGTAAAGAAAAGAAAAGAAAAGAAAAGAAAAGAAAAGAAAAGAAAAGAAAAGAAAAGAAAAGAAAAGAAAAGAAAAGAAAAGAAAAGAAAAGAAAAAACACAGAAAGTCATGTACAGAGATCCCCAACTTTCAAGTAACTGTGTCATCTGGACAGCTGTATTAGACCACACTGCAGAATTTCATAATATTTTTGTGCTATGTTCATAAAGCCAACCTTTTGAGTTCACTCTATGTTCAATCCATGTATTAAGTGAACATTCACCTAGGTTTACCCAAACATTTGATACATCCTCTTTGAGAATGAATTATTCAAGTTAACTATATTGCAAATTAAAAAGAGAGGACAAATTACATTCTGTATGCTTCTTTTAGATTGAAAAAATATGTGTTTTAAAGGCTTGTCATTCAAAGTGTAGAAGAAAACATTTCTGTCAAAAAATCCAATATTAAAAAAATCATTAAGACACTGGTATTTTTCTTCTAATCTTACAAATCTTACAAATATACTACAGCTTAACCAAAAAAGATGTCATCATGAACATGCTGCTGTTCAGCATGCAATGCCACTGATAACTGTTTGGTTCCAGGTATCAAAATACCTTCACATCCCAGTTGCTAATCCCACCCCAAAGCCCTCATTAATAACAATCTTATTTTTTAAAAAGGTAAAATCTAGAGTTAGTGGCAATTCTTCATCTTCACAGTAAATTGTTAACAAAGTGAGTTGTATAATGGTCATCTGTAAAATGGCATCATCAGTCAATTGGACCCTGAAAAATAAGTTTGATGCAGTTCTGATCTCCAGACAGCTGGGTAGCACAGAAAGGGCAGGCAGCGTGGAATGCGTGAGTACCATGTGGCAATGGGATCTGAGACCAGTATTTGGCAGATTTTTCTGAGCATACATGCCCACAAGGGGTGAAAGCATAAGTTGGCGGACCAGCATCAACATAAAAGCCTGCCTCACACCCAAGCCAAAGAGGAACATATGGACCAACAGTTCTGCACATGGGACACTCACGCTCATTGGCTTCTGTATCACTGCGGTGTCCCCAGTTATGATAACCATGGACATGGCCACAGGTGAGGTAAGCCCATGGTTGTTTTTCTTCTACCACTTCTTTACGGTTGATGCTAGGAAAAGCCAGTGTATTCAGCCCCACAGGGCACTGGGGCCTTGCAGCATTGATTTCCTGCCGAAGAGCCTCAATGTGTTTCTGAGTTGGTGTGTGAAATAAGCCATCTGCTGTTCTCCACAAGAGTGTGGCCCCACACAGATCAATGAGAGAACCATCTTGTAGGATGTTGGTTTCATTTTCCACCTAAAATGCCAGGCAGAAAAGAAGAACAATTTGAAAACAATTCCTTTTGCAATGTTCCACACACTACTGGAAGCAATGACTTTCATTCTCCTCTTTAACTTCTTATATTATGATAATCCATCCAGCCTTCTCTTCTTTCCTGTGTAGAACATTGAGACAATGGCATCTGTATAATAAGTTCCTGACTAAAAGCTAGAACAAAAAACAATTATTTCTTATTATTCTACTATAGCCTTTTCTAACTTCTCATTTTCAAGATGTGTGATTCCATCTATCAGAATTTCCTAGCCAGCACAGCATCTGCCAAGAATTTTAGGTTCTGAAGTCCAAACATCTAAAGAGTCTTCAAGTAGGTGAAGATTGCCATAGCAATTGCATTTCTTCTTTAACCTTTGTTGTCTCCATCACAGTTTAAATTTTGATAGTAAGTTATTCTGGTCAGGAACTTCTCTCATTTTGTATATTATTCTACAAGGTAATCATTGATGGCTCTACACAGACATTTTACATAGTACTATTATTCAAAATATACATTGGGGTAGAGATGTTATGTTGTAGTATTGGTTTTTTAAAGTTAACAAGCACTTATGAAAACATGAAGCAACTTTTATTGAATGATGCCTTATCTTGGTAAGTATATGTAAACCTACAGAAAAATTCACCACACATTTACAGCAGACAGCATTAGGTATTTTCAAAATCTATTCATCCAATTTTTATTAAGAACTGGTGCCATAATTCCTTCAGGGTACATAATGTATCCCATGTTTGGATTTAAATGAGGCAGAAAGTTCATACTGCAGACTCTCTTGTTCAGAAACCATTAGTCATAGAAACTGCAAGCTGGAAATAATGTAAAGTACATTTTCTGTCTAATATTCAGGAAGGATATTCTATTTTGGCTTGCAAGATGTATTATTTTTCCCTTACAAAACTTGAGAGGACAGTAAACCACAGACCTTGGACATCCTGCAAAGGAACATCAGTGAGATATACTTCCCAATATCCATCCATCCATCCATCCATCCATCCATCCATCCATCCATCCATCCATCCATCCAATTTATAAGCTACCTCAATTATGCAACTCTAAGGATAATTAGTCATGTGCAACATATTCAAACAATAAAACAAATAGAAAAACTGCCTTTCCTGAGGGCCTATTGAAAGAGCCACATTCCAAGACTTGCCTAACAACAATAATGTTGAGGCTGTGTGGACTTTGAAGGAGTGGATAGGTGATATTATCTCATAATGCTACAGAAAAGAAGCATCTCTAAGGTCTGACAGAATTTTAATGATGGAACCTGAAGCATCCCACTGTACTAGATGTAATAGGATGGACAGACATAAATGGAGAGAGGTGTTCCCATAGATCACCAGGCCTTGAGCCATGAAGGGCTTTATACACCCACTCGTTTAGCAACCTCAGTTAGTGTCCATTCACAATTCAACAGTAATAAAAAAATTCATTTTCCAACCAATGCATACATTTACCTCCAAATTTCATGCATCTGATAACAACACATGCTGTCATGTGTTCACTTAGCGACCATTTCACTTAACAACTGGTCACTGGAATGGAACTTGGTCGCTAAATGAGGAGCGGGTGTAGACGACCACCACCACTTTGAATTCCACCCACATGCCAATTAGCAGCCAGTGTAGCTTGTGGAGCAGAAGTGAACCTAGAGTGTACCAAGGTATGCCCATATCCACTCACATCACCACAATCTGAATCAATTGTGGTTACCAAATGGTCTTCAAGGGCAGCCCCATGTATAGCACATCGCAACAATTTAACTGCAAAGTGATTAAGGCATGAGTGACCTTGAGTAATACCTTCCAATCCAGGAAAGGTTCTAAGTGACACGCTATTGGCTCTTTGTGAGCTGCAATGACTTCCAGTGTGCCTCTGAGTACAACTCAAGGTGCTGGTTGCCACCCATAAAGCCCAGCAAGGCACAGAGTAATGTTACTTGCAGAACTGCCTGTTTCCTATGGTCTCTACCTATTTCACCAGATCCAGCAAGGTAAGCATGCTCCAGATCCCTTTTGTTAAACAGTGTATCATCTACCTGGACTCCTTTCCCCCAAAATCGCTGTGTGGCTTCTCATCCTGGAGGTAAAATGGTTCTGTTGTAAGGGCTTTCAGATGGAGTTAGTGTTTTCTGCATTCTTGTTTACCTTTGTAGAAATTTTTTTTGTTGCCTTGTTCCCTAAGCTTTTTCTGTACAATCTTTACTGTTTGCTTGCTTAACTAAAAGCCACTTTAGATGTCCTTTTTAGCAGAAAGGCTAGAAATAATTTTAAATCATGTTTTTAATCATTAACTTACTAGCTTGCCTCTTTGTTGAGCAGATCTTGTTTCCCGTAGGGTATATACATCACCGCAGACTGAAATTTCTCTCCAAACACCAGGTTTAGATTCTTCAGTGAACCCCCCTTTAGGATGCATGACTAGAACGCCATTAGTTGTTAATCCATCCATGTGCCCATCAGGATTCTTCCATTTTGCTGCTTTTTCCTAGACAGAATGCCACAGCAAGAAATAAAAAATAAATATCAGGCTTTCCACACTTGAAATACCAACTGCCTAACACAGCCAAGTAGAATAGCAACCACACATCAGAGGATAAATAGAATAATAGGAATACTCTGGGGGAGTAATGGCAGATTGAAGATGGAGCTTCAATCCCATTTTTGTGGAGTTGATGGCTGTGGTGGTTAAAAGGAACTGACAAAGGATCCAGTGCTTTGGAACCATCTCTGGAGAAAGGAGATGACTGGATCACCCACAATTACTCCTTACAAAGGTTCCCTGTGAAGAGATCGCAAATTAGCGATCTCCAGTGGGTTGAGCACTCTGGGAGTCACAGGAAACATCAACCCCAAGCCGCGGCCTGGAGCCTTCAGAAGGACACTAGATTCGCATATACTCCCTCTTTTAATTGACAAAGGAAACTACCTATTAATAGTTTATTTGGAATTAAAAACCTTCTATAAAGGCAAGTTGCTGCATACCAGGAGAATTTCCTTCTATCCTTGAAGAAAGAAGATTTAAGAAAATTTAAAGATTTAAAAGGAAAAAAAAAACTTTAATTTTTGAAACAACAAAAGGGAGCTTAGAATGTTTAGAAGGGAGTTAAGGGACCAGATGGATTTGAAAGAATAGTTTTTATAGACTGTTTTAAATTTTATAAAAATACACCTGAAGATTTTGGAATTAACTGTAAGAAACCTTAATGTGGGAAACTTTTGACTCTGAAAAGAAACAAATGATAAGACTGGGCTTTGAAGGTTAACTAGAGGGAATCAGAGCAATTAAAGAAGATACTTACTAACATAATGGAGGAACAAGTGGAGTTAACAGAGGTTATTGAAAAAGAAAAGATTTTATTGAATAAAACAGAGGCTAAGGATGATTTGAACAGGGATCTTAAAAAGGACTTTAAAAAATTGTCAGACTATAAAAGAGATATGGATGACACGGAAGAAGATGTGGATTTGAACTTAAAAATGTTTGACTATAAGAGTGCTATGCAGAAAGAATCTGCATGGGACCTACATGGGATGTTTTAACAATTAAAGGGGATATTCAGGTTATAAATCAGAGGCGTGACTCTGAGAGCCATCTTATTTTGGGTCCACAGAAGGGAAGTATGAAAACAGGGAGAAAATGACAAGAGATTATTATGTGGGACTTTATTTGAAGAAGCGACTGAAGATCAAGCCTCTTAAAAAGAAGAAAAAGGAGTTCAAAGTGGACTTATTTGATCAGAGTTAAATTGGAAGTGCATTTAGCCCCAGCTCTGGAAGTTTCTTAAAACAGAGTTTTTCTGGAGGCTGTTTAGGGGCTAATGCCAGATGCCTTTTGGAGTGTAGGTTTGTCTATTTTGACTGTTGGTTTTATTTTCATTGTTATTGGTTTTTGTTGTTGTTGTTGTGAGCCACCAAGAGTCAGTGTGCTATTGCAATGAGAATAATGTGATATATAAATAAATATATAAAGGTATGACTATTTTCAGTACTCTTTATTCCCATTTTTATAAAATGGATGGATTTGCAAAAAACAGCCACCACCCTGGGAGAAGCTATTATATTAGGGGTTCTCAAAGTACAGCCCACGGGCTGGATACGGCCTGCCAGGGTCATTTATCCAGCCCACCCGCCTGATTGGCCACCGCTGCTGTCTGTCAGAAGCGGAAGTGTCGGGGCTGTGTCAGGAGCTGCAGGCAATGCATGAGGAGGGAGATTGCAGAGCCGGACTGTTCTACGTGACAGGTATGCCAGGTCCGGCGGCTCTCCTCCTCTCATGTTTTTTTCAAACTATAGTCCGGCTCCCCAACATTCTGAGGGACTGTGAACTGGCCCCATTTAAAAAGTTTGAGGACCCCTATATGAAGCAGCCCTTCCTCATATGACATAGAGATCATGTCCTGCCTTATATGGAAACTTGGCATACTCACCCCAAGGAATATGTTTTTGGAAGAGTCAAATCCTGCAGCAAAGATTCTGGCTGTATACGGTGCATTCCTATCACAGACAATGCGGCATGCAAACCTGGAAATAGTACTCTGGGTGATCTGAGTTTCATCACTGTTCTGGCTGCCGGAAATCGTATCTGTTACAACAAAATCTATGGGGCTCTCTGTTGATCTGCCAACCTGAAAGTATTAATAGCATATATTCAAGAAATCCTTTAAATGAACCCCTGTGAAAAAAACAAGCGAACAGTTTAACTGTTCTTCACACAAGCCCTCCCCACTAGAAATGGACATAGCTTAGTGATAAACTACACGTTTCAGTATGCAGAACATCTTATATTCAATCACAGTTGAGAGGATCTGGGGTGGCAGGATGGGAAAAAGACCTCTGCCTGAAGCCTGAAAATTATTACCACTGAGGTTAAATAACATTGTGCTAGATGTACTGTTAGATGCAATCAGGAGCTTCTTATGTTCACAATAAATATCACTTACCAGAAGATATTTGTATATTTCCTCTGCCTGATCCCTCAAAAATCTTTGCCCCATCTTATTTTATTTAAGAAGATATACGTACTATCACAATATATTAGTATTTGATATCCTGGACTTAAATCTGACATCAGTAAACTTGCAGCAAATGAAGTATGAAATATCTGGGTCCCACAGACACTTTTCAAAATCTGTGCCTGAACTGCTGTGTTTTTTAATTTAGTATCCATAGAATTCTGTCTATATTGCCACAGATGGAATTATTACTAGCTAGAAATTTTATGTATTTATTTAATTTTTCCCTTTCTTTAGTAGAGGGCTCAAGGCAGCATATACAATGCTCCTCCTCATTTCTTTTTCCCCACAACAACCACCCTGGCATACAGTTTGGTCTAACAAATTACTTTATTAAGTATTACTTTCTAGATCCAATTTTTAAAATGCATTTAGCCAACTCTCTGGGTGAAGTAGCTTATATAAGTTATAGGAAAGCATATACCAAAACTTACTTAGTACTATTGCTGCAAAAAATTCAATTGCATTTTTTAAAAAAATGTAACATTTGTCAGATGAATTACCTGAAACACCACTATATTTGCCATTCCATGCATTGTTTGCCATTTAGACAGACATAACACTACTTTATTGCTTTATCTGGTAGCTTTCATTCAAATAGGTGAAAAAAGTGAAACATATTGCCAAACACAGTGCTTTTCTCCCATTTAGCCATTGAATATCCATCTGACTTACTTTGTCAACTATCAGACCAGTGTTTTAAATAAGCTCCAAAAAAAACAAGGCTGCTAACAGGCAGGAAGGAGGAACAATCCCCTCCTATCTGTGGCCAACATAGAAATGCAGGCTAATTTTTTAATGACCTTCTGTCAAGCAAATTGGTGAAAAAGTGGAACAATCTGTCTCTCTCCATCAGCCTATTACATTTCCATGCTAATTAAGGAGGAAGAGGCTTCCTGTCCTAGCATGGAAATAAAGTGCACAGGCAAAGAGGGGATGGAGCGGTCCAATCTGTTCACTTGCCTGAAAGCAATTCCTGGTTGTCCAGACTACCAGAGAAGACTTAAATACAAGGGTGTATCAGACAGTTGCCAGAGTGCATATACGTAGCTCAGGGCTGAGTTGCTGGATTTCAGAGAACTCCACTGAGCTTGCTTCTCTTCCTGCAGACATTTCATTACCAGGCTGGGTAACATCATCAGTGCACAGGGGAGTGGTGTTTGCTGGCTGTTTAGATGAGGTAGCTTGTCCTGCCAGCCTTGATTGAGGTATTGCTTCTTCCTGGATTGCTTTTGAGTTAGATATTGTTTCTTCTTTGACTGTTCTTGTTTATCTGGTGCTGGTTCCTGTTTATCTGAGTTTTGTATCAGATACTATTTTTTATAATTTCAGCAAAGCATTATCACACGCAGAAAGCCCAAGTTAGTTCAGGATTGCTTATCTTGTGATGTAAACACTTATTTTTTACATTCTAGACTATAGTAAATATAGTCTTAATTGCTAAACACTGGTGAAGGCAAGGGGTGGTATGACCTGATAAATTCTTAGATGGGAGACCTTGTCAAATGAAGCCAGTCTGAGGTTTTCAAAAAATAAGCAGGATATAAATTTGACCAAAAAATGCTACATGTTCTGGGCTTGGAAAATCACTGAAGTGAGGGAAATGGTTTAAAAAAACCCCCACAGAAAATCCTGTTCTACTGGATGAACAACTACTTCCAAATAAATCTTGAAAAAGCACACTTAACTAAGGGCTTTCTGGATGCTCCTGAGGAGTGGGGATTTGGGATATCTCTGTGGATCTGTTACAGTAGAATGGACATACTTTCAAAATAATATTGAGAAGACCAATACATTAAAGTATAAACAATGCAGCCGACACTAGTTCCCATTGAGAGTGCTTTCAAAAATGCCTGAAGATCCATTCAGGCTCAGGAATATTATTCTAAGGCACTGCTTGTTTGTCAACCAACAAATTTTCAAAAGCATGATCAACTAAGTAAATAACAGGAAATATATGCATTAATGGGTCAAAATATCAGCAATACAAAGGTGTTTCAAATATTTCACATGTAAAACTCTTCAGTGGCAGAAAATGTATGCAACTGGAGTCACGTATCACTATCATGAGAATATTATTTTGTTGCATAAACTTAAGCTAGGAAACCATACAGCTGATCACAGCTTCCTAGTGTACGTTCATGTAACTAGAAGCAGGTCTCTGTTGCAATCTATACATAAACTGTATCTTTTTCTGTACACAGCCGTAAACTGTACAGAGAAGCAATTAATATTCTTCTTCAACAACTGTGATACCTCTTTAATTATACAGATTATTTCTTTTAAATTTGTAATATTGGGATAAATGGCTATTAGCCCTAAAGTCAGTGTGGCTGCCTCTGAAGGCCATCTATTGGGAGACTAGCGGGCTTCCTTGTGCAGTTGCTTGGCCACCGTGAGAACAGACTGCTGGACTAGATGAGCCAGGAGTCCGATCCAGCAGGGCACTGTATATGTTCTTAATATCAAAGACTGAGACAGGGCAGAGCACACCAGCTTGCTGAGAGTTACTTTTTATATGACAAAATTTCCAAACCATAAGGACACATATGATACATAAAAATCTGTAGGAAATCTATTTTATCATACCACAAGCAGCTACTTTTATGTGATGTTAGTACACTTACCTGAAACATATCAGTATCTTTATCATGTGTATATTCTACTACAACCGTCTGATTTCGTGACAGCGTGTAGGAGATACTGTGTTGGCCCTTACAACTGATGGCCTGTAGAATAAAACAATCTCTGCTTTATTTAAGTAATACCTCTGCCTGGGAAAGGACAGTATAACAACAGTTATAAATGCTATTATAAACATGGCTACATTCTTCAAATGGAGTTTTCAGTTTTATGTACACTATAGCATATATCACAGCTGTTAAGTCTAGTCACAACAAATAAAAATAACATTTCTTGGAAACTCAGAATCACCTCCCATGTAAGATACAATCATTTATGAATTTCTGCATGGGACAGGAGGTAGAAAATAAGATCTGTGTGTGTGTGTGTGTGTGTGTGTGTGTGTGTGTATTTAAAAACATGCATTATTTTTCAGATCTACTTCACAAAGTCAGGAAAAAAAGTGCCCTCCTGTGATTTCAGTTCCACAGTAGTTTTTTCTATCTTTTACACTGGAAATATTGCTTGGTGAAGATTTTCTGGAGAAAATTTATATTTTATAAATCAAAACCGACTTCTACAGATTGTATATAACACTTTCTTTCAGTTTTTATACTTAAGTACTACAATATAGTATTTGTTATCATAAGAAACTTTATAGATCCATCTCCTGTGAAAAAGAGCTATAAAGACTACTGGTGTGACTAAAACAATTGAGCACAATTGAGACAAATCTTAAATGCAATAATCCAAGTCTCTCTCACTGTCTGTCTCAGTACATACCTAATTTTATAATATTCTATCTTGATCAAAAAATGGGAAAATGTTTGTAAAGAGCACCTATAAACCAGGATTTTCCAAATCATTATTAACTACAGCCATAGTAGCCTGATTTATACATAGTGCTAAGGCAAAACCAAATCATATTATGGCTTAGCATTATGTATCAGGCCCCAGATATTTGCCTCCAGAAATGAGGGATGTATTTCCTTGCCCACCTATCAGATGGTTTTTAAATAAAAGTAACTAGTCAGCCTAGTATGGATTTGGAAGTTAAGCAAGATTGGGCCTGGTTAGTACTTAGACTAGAGACCACTACAAGATCCCAGAGAGGTATACTAGACTACGAAATTGAAAAACATCCTGGAAGAAGACAACAGCAAATTTCTTTAACACTGTTCCCAAGAAAACCACACAGATACATTCCTTGAAGTCACCAAAAGTGCTACTCTACTTGAAGAATTATTTCCTTTCTTAAAAATGGGCTTTACATGGCATATATGCATACAAAACAAGTGCAGCATTTTCTGATTTTAAAAGGTTTCATAAACAGATCAAATAACATCAAATATTTTAAAGCACCATTAGGTATAATTGAAAACTGTCACTTATTTATTGGTAAAGCAGAAATTATTGTGAAACAATGATTAAAAAAATTAAAATGAATGTTTCAACCTTCATGGTTGGGTAAGTATGTTGGGTAAGAATTCTATCAACTATTGACTATATTTATTCATCTTTGTTCTTTATCCAGATCAGCTAAAGCCCCTCCCAAAATAAGGGAGAACATGCTAAAAATATTAAGTGATTGACAAAGGGGTTCAATGCTTGGAGCACAGCCCAACAAGGAATCTGTAATTCTCTGTTGACAGATGTGCAGTGCTGAATCAGGGAGGTACAAACTGAAAGATATCAACAGGGCTCCACACCTACCATCTTCTGTGTTTCCAGTTAATGGTACATATTACTGTATATACTATGCTGTGTGTGCCTGTGTGTATGTGCATATTGATTAAATGTATTATTATTTAAACACCACTTCTCAAATTAAACATTAATTTTACTGTAATTAACAATAAGAAATCTGTGGATACTATTTTCAAATGTTCGTATTTTGTTAAGACTCCATTCACTTGATATACCTTTCTGAATACCATATGTATGTGTGTGTGTTTATATATGGTCATTTTGTTTCACACACCAGAAATCTGGGAAGATTCAAAATAGACAGAAAATGCACTCTGAGCAATTACCTCATATTTTTAATAACTCTGTGAACTGTAAATTGAATTACACCTTTCTATGGTGAAATACCACAAATCTAATTCACAGTTTACAGTAAAATCATCTCTCATTCTTTATATGGGTGCAAATTAACAATGGTAACAGTTTTTTAAATCAAATATTATCAGAAAGAGCTTTTAACATACAACGGCATCTGCAAGGGGCATCAAAAAAGTCAAGATGGCAGCTGCAACCATGTGACAGCCCTGCCCCTGTGTGTAATAACTGCCACCCTGTGGACTTTTTGACCCCCACCCTCCAGCTCTATAGATGCTCCGCATATATTATATAATCAAAGCCAAACCCTAATGCACTTGATGTAACTGGCATCCCAAACAGAAAGATTTGTCAGGAAAAACTTTTTATAGAAGCAATTAAGAAATACAAGCTAATGAACAAACGTTTCCCATTATTCTAAGAGTGTAACTTCCGACTGTCTGACAGCCACATTGAACTCTGCACAACATGTCAAAGGCTTCATTCCAAAAGCGGATGGGGCCAGTCCACCGATACTTAAGGTGCTATTTTCCCTTTAGTATTCATAAACTCCAAAAATGCCAAAAAAAAAAAAAAAGGTTAAAAAATTGATGGCATCAATTTTAACACTATACACTCTGAGAGGGGCGGTAGGCTTCAGTATTTCAGCACTTGAGTTATGAAGTTATTACCTTGTCTATGTGTTCCCTAATTTTTCCAATTTTTATGACTGCAAGCTTATTATCAAAATCAAAATACTTATCCTTGCTTTTTGTACTGATATAACATGTCTATTTTGAAATGTTTGATTATACTGTGTAACAAGTAGGAGGTTATATAATGGATATTAATAAACTGCCTAGTCATATAGTTAATCTATTTTAATTGTTCCATAAGTGTTAGAACTTACTAAAGCTTCAAGTGGGTATAATTTCCATTAAAATAAAGAAAAAAATCTGCCTAAAGCCCTTCTTGCTCAGAATTCTGTCCTTAAAACATAGATTAAAAGAGCTGATTTCAACAGGTAAGCCAAATGTGTTCATATGAATCAATTACAGAGCTGCATCTGAATGTTCAGAGATAGATACTATTCTACATCTGCTAATTGCCCCATTTTAAATTGCATAACCATGTTTGTAAATCTAAATATCTCTTAAATTCAATCTAACACATGCTTAGCCTATTGATAGGTAATGTTTAACAAATATTTGTAATGCAGATATACTTAAGTAACCAGGTACAGCTGAAAACTATTCAGCCACTTCCAGTCAAATAATTAGAATTAAGGATGTGTTTGAAAGGTTATTTGGAAACAGATGATTACAGAGTACAATCCAACCCCTGCTTCATAGACTGGCATTCTGAAATATCCTTTAGCACTCTTTTTTTTTAGTTCTATTTTCACTAGGTAGATTATACATATGTTCCTCCCACATAGATACAGGGTGTCCTTAGTTCATAATTACACAAAATTACTGTCCTGTGCTTCTAAAACAACTATTCATTTAGTACAACTTGTACTTAATCTTATTTCACTGAAACCATTTGTACAATTCAAAAACCACTTTCATAGGAGTTTGGTCCCTTTATCAAGTTTCTTTCAACATTTCTTTCTAAATACCAAAACATTCTGCCCATTTGAGTGGAAAAAAGGGCCTGATAACCCATTATTCTTGATGGTTAAGTTATGGTCTTTAAAATGGAAGTTCAATGGCTATTAAGAAGAAAACAACAAAAAATATTATTCACAACTTTAAAAGGAGTTGCCAGTTATCTTCTATAAATATATAATGCTTTCATTTTTCAAAGAGTACCAAGACAGTTGCAGAGACAAGAACTAACCTAACGAACAGGCAAAGCTAATAAACTTTTTGTTGTTACCATTGGCCTACTGGACCCTATCCAACACAAACTTTGCACCCAAAGCATAAGGACACAAACTCCTGCTAGCCTACCTACATACCAAACTGGACACAGAAGATGCAAAAAGCCTTGTATCACATGCAAGTTATGCCTCCATCCTACATCACTTGGCAAACAAAGTATATTGCTGCCCATCAACTCCTGTGCCATAAGAGAATGGAGAAAGAATGAATGCTGCACAGTTGGTATGAATATGACTACCTCAGTTCCAGAAACAGTGCTATTTACTTTTTCTCTCTCTCTTTCTCTGCTTTTGATCATTTATCTCTATGTATCAGTTGAAAGGGAGAGCCAGTTTGGTATTTTGATTAAGGCATTAGGCTACAAACCAGGAGACTGTGAGTTCTAGTTTCACCTTAGGCACAAAGCAAGTTGGGTGATCTTAGGCCAGTCACTCTCTCTTAGCCCTAGGAAGGAGGCAATGACAAACCACTTCTGAAATCATGCCAAGAAAATTGAAGGGACTAGTCCAGGCAGTTGTCAGGAGTTAAAACAGACTCACACACACACACACACACACACACACACACACACACAGAAATCAGT